TAATCACAGAGAGCGCTGTAACTCTAAAGGGAGGGGGAAAGACACTTCATCACACAGTCACAGCGCCAAGATTATCGCTAACTAACAACACAATCTATCTCGCACTAGCTTATCTAGTTCCTGACCCAGGATCAAACAGGACAAGTTGTGAATCTTCACGGCGATGGTTTTATAGCTAAGAGGTCAAAGCAGGGCGTTCTGTGAAGAGCTGCTGTCACTGCTCTTCTTCAGAGAGGCCCTCTGAGAAAGGAAATCAGAGTGATTAACAANGTTGGTCCCTTGAACCAGCCTGACTGAGTCTGAGGATGCAGAAAGAAAAAAGGTTCTTCAACATTTTCACTGAATTTGGTTCCAGTTTGTTCAGCAAAGCTACATCACTGCAGACTCTGAGTGGAGGAACGAACCAGAGAGGGGAGCTGGGCAGTTTCATTAATAAATCTAGTGTTTAATGTTCTTATCGTCTCCCTGTGCTGCAGGCCCTGGAGATCAGTGGAAAAAGATCAACTTAAACAGAGAAAATTACACTACAACAGAACAAATAACCTATAAATGATCAATTATTCATTAGTAGTTCACCCTTTTATTGTCTGCTGCTGAACCAGTTGATAAAAACAAATGTGAGGACAGATTTAATCACAGAATAATAGAAAACTATCATCATCTTTTTACACGGTAAACTTAATTTGTGGAGGAAGTGCAATCTTTGTTCCGCCTCTTGGCTGTCAGCTTCTTCTCAGTGACATCCAGGTTTTTATAACCCTGAATCTGATCCACTGGTTCCTTTAATCTAAAAGTTCATTAAATCACTAACCTGGTAAAAACCAGCCCCTCTGTTCTACACTGCTTCGTCCAGAGAGTCTGGACTGTGTTGAGGTTTAAATTTTACCCAATTGCTAAAGTTTGTCCATTATATGCAAAGCATCAGGTCCACACTAAGAAGTTTACTGGAAGTTTCCTGGGCAACAAACATGATACAGAAATAATCCATTACCAAGTACTGTTAGATGAAGTCACTCCATCAGGTTCATTTGCATATTGTGCACAACACAGAGAGCATATAAGACGATCAATAGTGAAACATTTCTGACTGAAAACTCTCCCAGCAGAGACAACATGAGTTTTATACCAAGGCTGAGGGAGAGACGGTCTGGTTCTCATGCAGCTGCAGGAAAACATCTCCCAACCTTGTGCATTTAACCCAGACAGCTTCACTTGGTGAGAGTTCACCAGCATTTAGAATGAAGACAATATAACCAGCAGATTTTACCTGCAATAATTTGTCCACCACAAAACAGAGAAGAGCCGAATGAGGCGGCTGTTCATGTTAATTCAGTATTTGGACGTGTTGCCAACATGGACTGAACTTCCTGTGCTGCAAATCAAGGCCATCATTCAAACTTCTTCTGTTCGCTGATTGGTCCAGTAGAAAATCTACCAGAGGGAATCCAGGTGAAGGAGAAGAAGCCCAGACTGCTTCAAACTCCACTTCAAAGTGGAGTTTGAAGCAGAACAGGAAGGAAATGACCAGGATGTGAAATCACCTGAGCAGATGATCTGTAGATTGTCGTCATCATCTCTTTGTATCGACACCACAGATCCACAGTGCAGCTGTCTGCAAGCTACAGATGCTGATGTAAGGTTCCGGTCCCACTTCCAATAATTCACTGGTTTCCAGTCTCCCAGATCCTTCTTCTCCAGTCGGCCACCACAGCGACTCCTTCCTGCTGCCAGTCTGACTTCATCAGACAGAGCTGGAAGAAACATTTACATGTTGGGTTACAACAAGCAGAGACAGATTGATGTAGGATGTGCTGACAGGATCCTGTTGATGGTGTTTATGAGATCTTCTCTTAGATGCAAAGCTATCAGGGACGGTTCTGATCACACCATCTTTATGCTGGAATGGCCTAGTTAAAGCCCAGACCTAAATGTTATTTATGCTCTGTAGTAAAACCTGAAATGTTTTTATTATTCACCTTTTCTATCCATTTATATTTATGTCTTTACTGAGACCAACCAAAGTCAAATTCATTGTTTTTGTGTAAAAGTTGTTAAATCCAGTCTGTTCTGGTTCCGGTTCTGGTTCTGGTCATCAGTGAGGTGTGAATATTTCCATCGTCTCTGTAACTGATGTCTCCCTGTCTGATTATTTCACTGATATCTTTGAAACCACAAAAACCGTCGACTCATTAAGCCAAACAGCTTCAGTCATAAAATGTTCTTCTACTGAAACACAGCAGAAACTTTAATCAGTTATATTCCCCCACTTCGCCTTCATGCTGCCACCTGCAGATGAGCTGCTAGATAACTTCCACCCTAACGTCTCAGATATCATTGATTTAATTGCTCCCACTAAAGTGAAGGTTGTGTCTTGTAGGAACAAAATATGTGCCAACAGTCGGATCTGCAAGACGACTCTGTGGTAGAACCGACCGTAAATGGAGTAAAACTCAACTTCACGTTTATCATGAAATCTATAAAGACTGAACTAAAGCATTCAAGGGAAACGCTCTTTGCAGAAACCGCAAACAGAAACATGAAGAATGATTGAGTTTTATTTGCCACAGTTGACAGGCTCACAAACCAGCTGACCTGCAATCAAACACGGCCTGCACATTTCTTCAGAGGAAATTAGAAACTTAGAGGATTAATCTGCACATCCACACTAAATCCAATATCAATGCTGCACCTGAACATAACAAAGGCAGAATAAAATACACAATATCAAATATTCAACTATAAAAACTTTGAATAAATTATAGCCAAATTCAGCTCCTGTCTTGATATCACACCCACAGCTTTTCTTCAGAAAGTCCTGCCTGTCATTTCATCTGGTCTGATTCAAATAGTAACTCATGGCTGTCATCAGGCGTTTTCCCCCAGCAGTTTTCAAACCACTGATATAAAAACAACCATCTGAACAAATCATTCCTGCAGAATTACAGGCCGATCTCCAACCTTTCATTCATCAGCAAAATGACTGAAAAGCCGTTTCAACAATTAACTGCAAAACAACCGAAACACTGAGTTCCTTTAAATCTGGACTAAAACCCGGCTGGTCAGATTTGCTTTGAAACTAAATAAATGAAACACTGAACAACATTTTGATGTGTGACGACGGCACTTTGACTGAATGTACCGTTTACTGGTTTACTGTGTCTTTTAGGACTTTTTATTTTTGTGTTTTTCTGAAGTAAAGCACTTTGAACCGCCTTGGTGCTGAAATGTGCTTCACAAAGAAACTTGATCGATTGGTTGATTGATTCTAATCTGCAGCAGGCAGTTCGACATCCGGCCTGAGACGTCAGACGGAGCTCAGACGTTTTCACGAACACAACCAGCGGTACCAGAAGCTGGTCCAATGACCAGCAAACGGGCCTGACCAGAACCTCAGAGAGAACCTGTGGAGTCAAGAGGAAGATTTCATGCAGAAGGAGCCATTTTATGAGGCTCCACCTGTTTACTGCACAGATTCAGCGCTGGTGCAGAGTTTCTGCTGCTTCTCCTTATCAATCAGCCAATCAGATTTATTTTATAGCTCATTTCAGCAACAAGGCTGTTCAAAGTGTTTTACATCATTAACCAACCATTCTTGGTTTTATTGGCTCCTCAGCAGCAAGTAGAAAATTTAAACATCACTAAATGTAGCAGCAGCTCTATGATCTGAGACCAGAAACTGTTTCCACTTTTTTAGTTTGTAACATTTAACATGTTTATCAGCAGATCATTTTTAATTTGAACTCTAGTGAATATTAGTGTTTGATGAAAGTGGAGTCCTACCTGAGCTGCAGAGACACAGAAGCAGCATCAGAGCCGTTTGCTCCATGTTTCCTCTGATGTGGAGTGAAGCTTCGTCTCTTGATGTGATCAGGATGTGGCTCCAGACTCTGAAGACTTCCTACTTTAAGCTTTTTTATCTGCTGCTTCCTGAACGTCACAGTTCAGGTCTTTGGCTGCTTTCAGAGACGACGCCTCCTTCCTAGGAGCTCATCATGAAGATGGTTCATACTGGGCCTACTGGGATTCAGAGGTTTCACCAGTCTCTGTTGTTCCTGTGTTTAGTTCAGTCCTGGTTCTGCTTGTGGCCGGAGTGGATCCAGGTGTGTCATCCACTGAAAGGGAACCTGATGTTGTTGGCAGCAGCTCAGCTTCCCTCCAGGAAGGGGTCACAGCTGAACAGAAATGAGCCCAGGTGTAGCTGCTATGAGGAGGAGAAACAGAGAGAGAACATGAGCTTAATGTCAGCATGACTGCAGACGGTGCAAGCAGGGTTTCCCCTCAGTGTATTATAAGCCTGGCAGCCCACCAGGCTTTACTCCGTCAGGATAAGCGTTGCTTGGTTATGTTACTTGGATAATAATAATAATTGTTAGAAATGTTTTGGTATTATCATTTTGTTATTACTTTAGTTCATATTCAGTCTGATGTTAATCAATAGTTAATCAACATTCAGTACTATTGTGATTTTCAGTTTAAAGTGTTCTCTTTCTTATGTGTGTATAAACTGACCTGGAGGTCACATCTGCCTGTTCGTCTTCATGTGAAACAGCTGTGTGTTTCCCAGACCTTGAATTGTGTTTCCACAGGTGCCTCCTTATCAACCGGAATACTCCCTACCTTAGAAACTGTCAGAGTTGACACCTATTAAACACAGCAAATAACACAGGAAAGACAAGAGAGAGTTAGATTCTGAATACTCGCGAGGAGAACAGACAGAGATGTGCTTTCAGTTACAAATCTCCTGCTGCTCTGAAGCACATTTGCCTGCCCCTCTCTTTTTATATTGTCTTTAGGATCCCTAATCACAGAGAGCGCTGTAACTCTAAAGGGAAGGGGGAAACACTTCATCACACAGTCACAGCGCCAAGATTATCACTAACAACACAATCTATCTCACACTAGCTTATCTAGTTCCTGACCCAGGATCAAACAGGACAAGTTGTGAATCGTCACGGCGATGGTTTTATAACTATCTAAGAGGTCAAAGCAGGCCGTTCTGTGAAGAGCTGCTGTCACTGCTCTTCTTCAGAGAGGCCCTCTGAGAAAGGAAATCAGAATGATTAATATACAGAAATAGTTCTTAAAATATATGACTAAACAAATAAGAGTACATAAACTAAGAACATATAAAACAGTATAACAAATAGTTGATAGTAATACAATTTACCTAACAGATACTGTCTGTGTGCAGTCGTATTTCATCTGCTGTCTTTCTTCTCTGTCCTCCTTTTTGCTTGATAAAAGACAAGCTGTAACCAAAGGTCTTCAGAACGGTCTGTGAACGGCTCGGAGGAACAGTTTGCTTAGTCTTCTCCTTTTGCAAAAGCTTGGCCATAAAATTCATATACGTTGTCTGTGGTTCTTTTATGAAGGTTTGAGGAAAACACCTATCAATAATAATTGATAGGCGGCTGAGGAATGGTGAAAATGATTTATGTTTGTGGACAAATATTTGCATGTGGCGTTTACATCTAGGGCTGAAACGATTCCTCGAATGATTCGAGTACCTCGATTATTTAAATTGCTGTTTTATTATTTAGCACAGTTTGTTCTGGACGGGACTTTATTTGCGTTGCACAACACTTTCACTTCCACCTCTGAGTTGTTGACTGTTAAGAAAATATATTTAGAATATGCTAGTTTTAAAACTTAACAAGTCTTGATTGAAATAGCCTAATTATAGTTTTAAAGTTAACAACTTATTCTGCCCTATTGACCTATATTTTACCTGTAGTTACAGCAGATTGTTTGTTAAGATCTTCGATCTGCCCTTTGTGTGGGAAAACAGGAGAAGTTCCAGCTTTTACACTGATCTGTGAAAAGCCATAAAACAGCAGGAGTTCAGGAGAAGCTATTTGTTTAGATAATGGGGACAACTGGTGTTTGATCTTGAAAACAAATTGCTGTGAGTTTCTATCTTTAAAGAGGGTCAGAGACAGCTCCCGGTTGGATGAGAAAAGATGTGCCTTATTTGAATAAATTAAAGACAAGAATACACCTTTACTATAAAACTTTGTACACAGGAGAAACAAATTAGATCTGCTCTTGCAATTCTCCGTCTTTGCATTTCTTTCTTTCTTTTCTTCTTTTTTCCATTTGTCTCAGGTAAATGAATGCATGTCTCTGTTGTTCTACAGATTCTGTTGTGATTTCATACGTTGTCTTCTATTGGATTAAACTCTGTAATTCTGTGACTCGTTGTTGTTTTCTGTGTGGCCACACACAGAAACGGATCCCAGGTTGAGAGAACCTGGGATCCGTAAGAGGAAGATAGAGCCAGACATTTCCAAAAATATACTATAACTTAAAATCTTCTTCAAAATGACAAAAGCTTTAGCGGCATAATGTTCAATTTTCAAGTTGGGCCGTTGGGATTTTATTGATTGACGATAATGCCCGGGTTTTCATTGTCTTTAGGGGACCAATAAGCATCCTTAAAACGACTGGGGTGATGCCTGGAGTTCGGCAGCCTTTCTCCTCCGGGAGCTTCTGGTTCAGAGCGAACAGGTAAGCGGGTAGGCTGAGCATTTGGTGCTTAAAGTATAAAGGTAGCTTTACAGACAAACCTCTCAGTACATTTCATATCATTTCATCTCAACAAACGGAAGGCAGAAATCATCCTGGCGGTACATGGCTGGTCGATGAGTTTCTGAGTGACGAACGAAGGTGTCAAATCCTGTTGCTAAAAAAAAGCTATAGATGGCTGGGCAAGGCACACCTGTGAAGTCTTCCAGGGAAACTACCATTTTTTACTACCAACTTTTATCCCCTTTTTCCACATTTACCCGTTTTTAATTTTCTGTAACTATCCCACTAGTTAGCATCATTCCAGGGAATCTGTGTGGATTTTCCCAATCTCTCCACTATTTTTACAGTTACACAACAACAACAATTTATTTCTTGCGTGACTCCCTGTCCCCCATAAGTGTGGTCACATTTGTTGGATTAAATTGTGATTTTAGTTTAGGATCTGACCTTGTTTGGACATTTTGGAGCAATGTCACGCAATAACACAAATACGCCGCTAGATGGCGGAAGCGAGCCCTTACGGGACTGACAGTGCGAGATTTCGGTGTGTCGAGGAAGCTCCACTCCATTCGGTTTAGAGCTACCAGCACAGCAGCACCAAAGTCTCCTGTGGCTCACTCGGTTTTTCCTGTTAAAACTGGTTATTTCCGTCTGGGACCTGCAACACTTCCTCACAGAAATTCAAACACTCTTTATAAAATCTTCCATTAGCACACTTAGCAGTGAGTGAATGAGGATGATTGACAGCGTTAAGACTGTCCCTCTTCTGATTGGTTGTTTTTGGTCAGGACTGCATTTCTCTAGGCAGCAATAGCAGCTCGTGGAGGAGATTTATCTCTTCACAGATTATCAGTTTCATAGCAAACTGTCACAACATGGTGACAGCTTTAACAAATGTGGAAGAAGCATTTTTTTATTAGTCATATTCTGCAGCTTGAACAAAATGCAACTACATCATTTTTTGAGAAGTCTGGATTGCTTCATGTACATTTTGTTTGATGCCTGTGACTGTTGCTGGTGGGGAGAGACCTTTCAATGAACTAACACTGATTATAAAAAAAACAAAAAATTTACCTATTTGCATGCAGTATGTGGACTGTTGCATGTAAACTTCACCAGTAGTGAAGATTGTGCTAGTATCAGTATTTGACTGCAAGCCTTTAAAATTGTGATGCTTTTTATGAGTCAGATAGACTAAAGAAATGCTAACAGCAGCTGTGAAGGGGGGCCAGTTTTATTTTTCATCATGGGGCCCAAGATTCCTGGCAGCGCCTCTGCTGCCCAGTGAGCGGCCCCGTCTCTGCGCTGCAAAGTTTATGTATGTGGTCCCGGTTGGCCGGTGTGTTATTGGTTAGGCGGTTCAGTCCAGTGATGAGCTTTCGCGTTCGATTTGTAGTCACTCATCACGCTGGTTTTATCTTATTTTATTATTATTTTTATGATTATTTTTCCTGTTACACGGTGCATCATGTCATACCAAATGCTGTGTCCACTTAGCCAGCCAGAGTTAATACGCACAGAGACCAGAAAATCTTGTCCCTTAAAACTCAGACAACCAAAACATTTTCTGTGATTCTTATTAAAAACTCAACAGACACAAAATGGACGAGCTACTAAAACCACATTAACAGCTTTGAATTAAATCTCCCGTTTGTTGCTCATCTCTGCACCAGTGCAGCAGCTTTAACTCATCATGCAGGGCCGGTCCCAGGCCGTATAAGGCCTGGAGCAGAATTTGACTTAGGGGCCCCTCTAGCTGTTAACAACATCAGCACCTCTAACAGCTTCTGTGTTAGATTTAATCTAGGAGAGGTGGGGGAGGGGCTAGTTTAATTGGCCAACCTAAAACTCAAACAGTTGTAATTGAAGTTTACTAATTTGTATTTGTGAACAAAGATTAAATTTACAGCATCAGATTGTTGCTATGG